TAACTAACTTTTTCATTCAAAAAACTTGTGAAGACCGTTCATTATTATACCGTCATATTAAATAAAGGCGCATACACATGTAAATTATATAACATTTCAAATAAATACTTAATGTACATAAGATTTATATGAAAATCAAAGGTCTTTCTTAAATTATAAATTAAGTTAATTTAACAAATTATTCTTATTATTAAACATGAAATTACTGTACAGAATAAAAAAAGCAACAATAATTGTTGAATAATAACAATAATTCGTAAGTATAATTTATCCTAACATGTAGAATATATATATGATAGTCAGAGTGTAACTTAAAGTTGTGAAGAAATTGTATAAAATAAATAATTTTGTACAACTTATTACAAGTGAATTTTAAAGTTTTAATATTATTCGTTTTTTGTGAATTTATAAATAATTACCTACAAAAATATATAATTTATTCTTCTAATAATTAAATTACATTTGTATTTACACGATGTTAATGTTCTGTCCAACTTGTGGTAATGTGCTTCGAGTAGAGGAAGCTTTAGCAGGGTTACGTTTCGCATGTAATACGTGTCCATACATATTCAATATCAAGAGAAGAGTAAGCAATCGTACATATCCAAAATTGAAAGAAGTTGATGATGTAGTAGGTGGAAGTGCAGCTTGGGAAAACGTTGATTCGACGGAATAGCGCTGTCCAAAATGTTCTCACCCTCGTGCATATTTTATGCAGATTCAAACCAGATCTGCTGACGAACCTATGACGACATTTTATAAATGTTGCAATCCGCAATGCAGTCACAACTGGCGCGATTAAAGGTAGTTGAACAAGATGCAGTTTCATACATAATAATAATTTTTATGATTTTGTTAAGTTGAAATTTGAATTTTCATTTAATAATCTTCAAATAATAGCATATATTTTATTACGAATTTCTTTACAATATAATTTCTAAATAAGTAATAAGTAAGTAAATAACTAAATAACAATATTTTTTTGTATATTTTATCTATGTACGTTTCGAATCAGTTCTGTTGCACATATAATAATTATAAAGCTTTTTTGTTATTTAAAAGTAACAAATTTTTTATTTTAAAAACACAGTTTCATTTCTTACTTGGTGGAAAGAGAACCATAAGTGAAAAGTATTTGGGTGCAATGGCTACTTTTTTGGAAAATGCTTCAGAAGAAATTCAAGTATTAAGTAAACACAATAAACATTGGACATGTAAAGGAAAACGAAGTATAGCAATAGCTGCTAAATTATTGGAACAAAATGAAATTATAGCAATTCCAACAGATACTATATATGGTCTTGCTGGTACTTTATCAAGCACTTCCATTAAAAAACTTTATGAAATTAAACAACGTGATATAAATAAACCATTATCTATTTCGGTTAATAATGTAAAAAATATAAAACAGTGGGGTATTGTGGATCATTTATCAGATAAAATGTTAACACAAATATTACCTGGGCCATATACAATCATACTAAAAAGAACAGCAGCCTTAAATCCTGCTTTGAATCCCAATCATGATACAATTGGTATTAGAGTACCAAAGTATAAATTTATAAACTGTGTTTCTAAGATTGTAGGACCTTTAGTCTTATCAAGTGCCAATATAAGCAATGAAAAGAATTGCTTATATGCTTCAGAATTTAAACATTTGTGGCCTACATTAGGTGGGATATTTCATGATAGTGATAGATATGGTAGATCAAAGAACAGTTTTAGAAAAGGATCTACGATTGTTGATTTATCTGAACCACAGTGTTATAAAATTATTCGCCATGGGATTGGTAAAGAGTATCTTATTTCGTTATTAGAACAATATCATTTACAGAATTGTTTCAGTTAAATGCATTATTATTGCAAACTACAAATGTAAACATTTTAATACTTAAATATGATTTATATTTTGAACATTAATAAATTATATGTAAAATAAAAATGAGTATATAGTTTTTAAGTAAAAAATAAATGGACTAGTTATATAACCAATAGTTTATTTATTTTTGTAATTTGTTGTATGTTGTATGTTGAGAATGATAATGTACTTAGTGAGAACATAAATCTCAGACTTTCTTATTTTTTGTTATTAAAATCATACTAAAAAAGTAAATAACACCTATCTTTGTACATCTCAAATACATTGTTAAAATATTCTTCTTTTTTTATTCACATAGTTATTAATGTGTACAAAGAATCTCCAACTGAGAATTCCAATCGTATACACAGGTCCACAATATAGGTGATAACATATTAACAAGTATTAAGTAATATTTATTTTATATCCTGAGATACCGTTCTGATTAAATGTGTTAATAATTTGTCAGTAAGGATATTCTCACTGTTTCATGTTTCTCTTAACAATATCGTATTGTCTTTTTGACAAAATACATATCACATAATATTATTTTCTCAATCATTAAATAAGTGTTACAAATATTAAACACAATCAAGAAACAAATAAGGGCCCATTCTTTAAACTAAATAAATAATTTAATTCGTTTTTAAAGCACTAGATTTCAGTAACGAATTACTAAGAGACAAATCAGTCAAGACGATAACATTTTAAGATCTTCTGTATGTTATCATCCATGCAGTCTGTGTGCATTTTAAAATGCGTATTATTACATTCGTTATAAGTATATTTACATTCGAAATTTTTAACAAACTTATTATTGATCATATGAATTACTTGATAAAAATAATAAAATGCATTCAAACTTAATTCTAAATTATAACTACTACAGCATAGTACAATGCATATGTATATGATTGTATTTGTGATTTCTTACACATATTATCTAATTAAACTAATAGATTAGGCATATTTAATGGCCTACATATAAGGCATTTTACTTTCCTGAAAAATGGAAATTAATCATTGAAATTCCTAAAACTATATTCTAAACATTCATTTATGCTTAATTAACATATTAGACAACACATTCAGATAATAATCACTATTTAAGAAAAAAAATCTTAACATTTTTTTCCATTTGCAAAAATGGTAAAAACACATTATAAATTTTTTTTTTCAAAGTCTTTTTTATGGGAAAGAATTGTAATACAGGAAATTTTTCCTGATATTTTATATAGTTTAGACCTCGTTTCCCATTTTTTACAGAATGTATATTGCAAAGTTTCGAGTATCAACGAAATATAGTAGGCTCGAATGATATAGCGTGCTTGTAAATTACTATATTGACCTGCGGCTTCGATTGGTGATGAAATGACACCAAACACTCAAAAAAACACATCTACATTTTCAATTATAGATATTTAAAAGCAATAAAATAAAAAAAATTGTTGATTAATATTAAATTCCAACTTAATTCATTAACTACTACATATTACTAATTTACGGTTACTAAGGTCTGTTTAATATTTCGAATTTAAAAGAACCTTAATCTTTCGTTTGTCATGATATTGTCAGCATTACCTAGTAGTGGGAGAACTTATTTCAAATTATTTCGTACAGTATTAACTCTCGAGTATCTGATTTTCTATTAAATGTCTTATACTTCTAGCTCAGAAGCTGGAACACATACACATTTAGGCTCAATTCATTCCAGCTATGTCACTCGAGCCTCTTATGCATCGAAATCGATGTATGCATACATACATGTATTATTTGTTATATTGAGAATATTTTTATTCTTCGGACATTCACACACATGTGTCTTTATCACAATACTGCGTTGTCATTACTTTGAATTCATATTCCAAGTAAACTTATTTATATAAGATTGGTATGTATACTTTCAGTAAATAATTATTAAAATAGTGATCATATAATAAATAATTAATTAACTAGACGCACACACACAACAAGCACATACATCTGATCAACATACTTGACGTGTGTAACTGGCTTTCGCTTTAATATCATTCGATGAAACTTCTTAAATATATCCTACGATCATTACGTGCAATCATAATTAAACCACGTACAAACTCACACTTTTAAAAAGAATTCACATGTGATCCATAATTTTACATGTTTACATTAACGGTAATATTATTGAACTGTTATGACCTGACTGAGTTTGGTCATTTTTACGTATGTTGTAAACGGCTTTATTTCAAACAGTTTTTTTCTTTGGAAAAATTATCAGTCCTAATTTCCGAATTTTGTCCATACGTGCACATTCATGAGTCGAAAGATAGTGCACACATATGGAGAAAATTCAAGGTATTAGTAGCAATTTTTTTTGTTAATATCTCGGAACATACAGCCGACTGTTAACTTTTTTTAAAGAAAAAGGTTACTCGAAATAAGAATTAATTTTAAGCAATATTTCAAAATGATCAAAATCAGTGAGGTTGCAACAATTCGACAATTTTACCTACATTAATATTATACGAATACACCTTTAGGTTCCACTTTTTCTTTCTTAAAATTAACACAAAATTTCTATATTTTTCTTCTGCTTACAATGTAAGTCAGTCTAATCTTCTTTCATAGAAAACATTCCTAAAGAACTTTTCTTATTTTCGCTTCTAAAAATTCCTACCAGACTGCTCCTTAACCTGGCGTAAATTTCTTTACAGACAGTGGCCGTAAACTTTGTTACTAGACAACCAATTGCTGCTGTAGCAAAGATTAAGTTATAGAATAGTACTAATTTAAAGTTACCAAGCCATTCAATACGCCCAAAATCGCCGAGTAAATCGAAGTTCGTCATACCTGAAACAAATAATTCAGCAATATATTATGAGAATGGTATAAAGTAACTAAATACCTATTTATTTGTATTCGTTTCCAATTATTAGTAAATAGATTTACCTAATATTCGAGATAACAGTGGCAATGCTGAGCTTAGTACAAGAAGTAGAGCGCAATTTGCGATAAGATGAGTAAGTGGTGTGGAATGAAGTCGTGGCCGAACACTCTTGACACCAGGAAGGGTATACAAACCTATTGCGCTCGTGGCAGCGAGGTATAAAATTACTGTCACTTCGATTGTTGCTCCAATGGGACCTAGCTTTGACAATGAGCTGATACCCAGGGTAAATTGCTAAAGATTCGTTACACGTGTTAATGTTTTATGAAATTAATCTAAACTAAAAGCATTCTTCTTTTCATTTTTCAATTAATATCTAATTTATATACTAACCCGTGTACTTAAAGGCAATGCTTTAATACCGATAAGTAGCTCTAAGGTATTTTGAACTGCTAACAAGGCTGTGGTAGTGGAAAGTATAAGTAACGCTAGCATGGCTAAAGGATAGAGCAAAGTTCGACGAACCCACCAGGTTCGTCTTTGCTGATCTAAAATATTTCTCCGTTTCTGAATGTCTTCCAAACGTTGAGCTAATCCACGCTGGAGAGCACCGTTTCTTAAGCACATCAAGCTCGGATTTACGTTAAGAAACTCGTCATCTTCAAGCACTGAACCACAAGTTGGTATTGACATAGGCACTGGTGAAACGTATGATTTTCCCGTTGCTTTTGCATGTTGCAGTCTATGTATATAATAATGTTTTTATAAAGTAGGTGTAGTGAATGTAAAATTTGCGCAGATGGTGGGAATAGTAACTGATAGCTGACCTTCTACGAATACAATCTTCCTCCAGTCTGTATGCGAAAAATTCTTCATCTAAATTCTTTAGGAACTGCGGTTTTACAAGAAATGAACCAACTACTCCAAATAACTGTACAAACCCCATTGGTGTACATACTACAGGGATAAATTATAATCTTTTTATTATAGTATTCTTATAAGATGTGGATAGTTGCTTTGTTATATTTTCAATATTATCTTAACAATTTTATATCAATAATTTTAAATAACTATCTGATAATACTTACGCAATAACATAACAACTCCAACAAAAGAAACACAAGAATAAAGAAAAGGTAAATAGTAACTCCATAAATCTGAAAAGTATTGATTTAGACAGTTTTTATATATTAATATTTTAAAATATTTTATATTTCTTAACCCTTTTGCTACGAGCGGTGACTATAGTCATCCAACGCGATGCTCGCTATGTATGAACAGTGACTTAAGTCACCCGTGAATTTTCGCGAGCAGTATATACATATATAAACATATATTAGACAAAATGACTTAAGAGAGACTTAAGAGAGACTTTTGGTGCGGCGGTTCGTTCAGCGGGAGTAGCGCGCTGAAAAATGCATTCGTAGGGAAGGGGTTAATATACTTACTGAGCAAATTATTCCTAATACAAGTGTCCCTAATAGGCAAAGAACCGTTACAGTTTCATAAACTCTGGCCATTACACCCTGTAATTGAAGAATTATTTTTTCCATATAAAATTAAACTTTTGACTATGATTAACTTATTAACTTTACCTTTCTATAGCCGACGAATCCCTCTGACTCCGTAAATAAATATGCGAATGGTAGAAATACAAAGAGAGATAAATTTGAAAAGAGAAACACATGATTCCACAAACCTAATTATTAAACAAAATTGACTATAAATATTTTATACATTTTAAATGATTTTAGTATTGGTATTTTATTACAATCTTTAAATACTTAGAAAAAAAGATTCTCATCGTTTCTTTTAAGATACATGAAAAACTAATACAATAAATAAATTTAATTTTCATGTAAAACATACATACCTTGGATCAATGAACTATTGAGCCACTTAACATAATAACTGTTCGGATATAAAATCAGCACTTCATTGCTAGCGATTGAAGCTGGAAGAAGCAAAGTTGCTCCAACGGAAACCGTCAGAGCAACAGTACATAACCACAAACTGATCTTGTAGACGGTTGCTTCATCTTCATCTACAGAAAAATAATCTTCGCGATCTCTTCTTCGAAACTTCGCAATCAAAGCGTAACTTGAAACATACAGAATCAAGAAGAGCAGGAAAAATATCTGAAACAACCGTGAAATTTCATTCCTTTACATTTTTATATTTTAGTGTAAACGGTATATGAAAAATACGAGTTCACTGTGAAATCATTTTAAGAAATATTTAATTATTTCCTAAAACACAGAAAATGTGCGATTATTAAAAAAAATGAATTTAATAAATTCTAAAGTGCTGCCCTTATTGTGGTTATCGTAAGAAGATAATCATATTTTATTAAATCGAAAGATTTAAAAAAACTTTCAAGATTGTGTACCCGAGTGCGTCTATTCAAAATACATTGCCCATACACGCTTATCGTACGTGTATTTATATATATATCTACATGTAGTGTACAGTTTACGTTGAATTGCATAAACTTGAAAGAATACATGTATACCTCATTTAAATATTGTTTATTGTATATTTGAATGAGCATTATTTTTGACATCATTTTAAGATCAAGTCATGTACATGACGATATAAATCAATTTTTTAATGTCGAATTATTTTTGTAACGAACACAGGAAATGATAATACATCTCATTTAAGAATTGTGGTCAATTGCATCATGATTTGATTGACATAGCAAGAATATTTGTAGAAAAGGTAATAATATAATTTGTATCGATTTAACTCTCTCGAACTACTTCTGAAGTTTGTACTCTGTTCAGATTATAACATTCGATTATATCTTTATCATGTTTTTTCTTTTTTTTCTTTTTTATTAAATAGAATTATATATATATGCCCGGTAAAATTTATTACTGAATTAAAATAATTGAATAATATTCCTGATTACATATTTCGAATATTCAACATCAAAATTCAACACTCAAGGATTATAATGTCTAAAACAGAAAGTATAAATGTGTAGCATATGAAATGAAATACAATAGCTACTACTGTGATGCATATTATTTTGGTATGGCAGTAAAAAAAGGTGTACAGAGAAATTGATATATAAATGAAAGTATAAACAGTGTAAAAAATGACCTTCAGCTACATTATAAAATTACACTTGTTTCATCATATCGTCTTTTGTTCCTGAACACACGTATTTGCTGACATATTTTTAAACACATTTTCATAATATTTTATCACTTGATTTGTTTTGCATGGTATTAAATAGATAATGATATTCATGATCTTAATATTGATTATGAAGCAGACATATGCAAATTATCATAATACTTGATGTAAAATGATAGAATAGAAAAACCACGCAATACGTAATACGCATAATAAAAACAATAATAATAAGATCTCTGTATATGATAATATATTTCAAACACCGTGAAATCAATCATAAAGGGTACGAAGCAAAGCGAAAAATAACGGCCAAGATTTAATGGTCAGTTGCAGTTTTACAAATGTAATTCATGACGAAATTTTGCGGTAAATACGTTCAATGACGTCAATATTAAAATGGAAGTTTCAGACCATAGATAATAATTCGTCATTATTGATGCAAAACAAACTCGAATATTTTTTGATCACTCTGTTTTACTAATAGAGTTCACTAGCTTTAAATTTAAATATTTAACAAATTGTTATTGTCCACAGTTATAATAATTGTATTGCAATGCAGATGCAAGTAGAGATAGAAATTGGTCATTTCAAGAATTTGAACGGCAGAACATTATATTAACCTAAACTTCCGGTATAATACACTTCCGCATATTCCACTTATTGAGGACGCTAACATTAATTTTTCATTCTCTCCTGTTCTGTTAATGTGTCACATAACACGCGAATGGCGTTTCCTTTTAAACGATACTTCTTTAATGATACATGAACGCTGCCCAGAGATACATTTTTTGTATTGTAGAAATTACATTAAATCAATAATAAACTCGTTGCTAATCTTGGTTGAATGTCGATATTATATTATTATAATAAATAATATTATAATAATATTATAATAATATTAACTTTGTTAATATAGATTTATCAATGGAAGTGTTGAAATAAAATTTTTCATTTAAATATTGAAACTAAAAGTAATACCATTAATAGTAATAAATTATAATTTTTTAAATATATACCACACTGATACTGATATATAATATAATATTAATTTCATTACTGGACGTATTGCTTACGTCAGAAACTAACCCTAAATGGATATTTCAAATTCTATTTTACTTTTCCAGGTCTTCAATTGACTATAGTACTATTCCAAGTTTATGTTTTCTACTAGCATATCAAGTGTAATGTTTTCGATACACTCGCTTCTAAGGTTATTATTGGCTTTTCGCAATTTATTTACACGTTGGATTTGGTGATCATATATCGCGACGGTTATAGTCACGTGACCGTTACACTAGAAGATAGTTGGTTAGAAAAGATTTGTCAATATCTGAGGTACATTGTCCTTTTCTAAGAATAATTCTATTTTCTCAGTTACATTTTTACACGTACGTCAACATTTATATCCCAGCTCTTATTTTTATCTTTTGTATTTTGTTAGTACTCATTGCCAGCGGGTACACACATGCATGTCGACCAGAATATTTGGTAGTAAACAAAATCGAACAAAATTACTTGCCGTTATCCGTACGAAAATAAATGCGGACTGATATCTTTAGGAAAAGTTTATTTACGAAGCGGAAAATAATGACATAAAAATAACAAACTTATGCATAAACTTTCCTCTTGTAATAAATACATTCTAATAATAAATGGAGAAGCGTCAAAAAATAAAAAATTGATTGTATGAAATAAGTAATAAAAAAAAGAAAAAAAAAACAATATGCAAGTATCGTATGATATTAATTAACTCTGTACGCGGTGATTCTTCAGTTGGCAGAATTTATTCGAAGGCTGAGAATAATAGTCCAGCCGAGGAATATTCAAATACTTGAAATTTGATTTAAGTTTAAGTATTAACGCATTTAATAACGGTCATTTTAATTCATATTATCGACAACTACTTGATACGAATGATAACCTATGCGACTGGTAATCTTTCAGACTTATCAATATTTATTAATAACAGTACAAGTAACGCCATCTGAAGCCTCCTGTTTCAACATTCATAAAAAGGAACAGAGAGCGTAAAAGTGGAATGTACGATAATATACTATGTACAACCAACTCCATAGAATAAAAGGAATTATTGTTATATAATAATAGTAATAATAATGAAGAAAAGAAAATTGTATAATATGTAAAAATTAGCCATATTCCAATGATTTAACAATTCAAATAAATTTTGACTGTCTAATTTCCCAATATTGCATTTCACATTTCTAATTGCAATTGTAATTATTAAATTTATTAATTTAAATTATATTTAACGATAAATGACACAAGCTGTTAGATATTTTGGTGTTTAACATAAAATGCACCATAACTATGTCAAAGAGTATACGATAATACCTCAGGACTTTACCGAATTACACACAGCAGAGTCCAACTGTTGAACAAACAGAAAGGTAAAATTACAGCGTTTCACAATGGTAACACACGTGTCTTTGACCGGGCATATTTTTAGCTTTACTAGACTACGAACGTCGTCGTCAACTTTTTACATAAAAGGCGTTTCTATGTATGGTGTGAACCGTGCCGTTAAGGCAAATCCTTTTGTCACCGTTATTTGTCCAACATACAAATAGTGAAACATACTTTCAAGAATGTCCCAAATTTATGTACAGTTTGTATAATCAGCGTCTAGAAAGTATTGAACGGTTCAAAAGAAAATCAATGCAACGTTGTTCAAAAGGGATAGACATGATCGTTGCAGCAGTTGAAGAAGCTGCATAGTCGGTCGGAAACCACTTTTTGTAACCAAGGTGGAAGGAAAAACCGGTCAGAGATCAGAAATAATGCGTGGTCAACGACTCGACGGGAAAGTATTGAGAAAGCATATTGCAAAGATGGTGTGTTTCTAACAACATTCTTCCGAGCTTTGAATACTGATGATTATCCAATTAAGTGTGTTAAACAAAGAGTATGAAGTCAAGGACAGTCATATTAGTGATAGCACAGCGCGACATCTATACACAGATGAAACCTCTCATCGTGACTTTATACCGTGACAATACACACGCAACGTTGTTAAGGATATCTTAATCGACTAAAAAGATTTGCATCTTTATTTTATCAATATATTGACATAAATTACAGCACATAGGATGCTTCTTTTATTGTATTCGTATAACGATATAATCAGGTTAATCTTGGCAACTGTACAATTCCACTTTTTCACGTAAAAGTTGGTAAATAAACATGCCAACGTTTTGATCTATCCTTTTACGGGGATGATCAAGCTAATAGATAAAAGACCGGAAAATTTGATACTTGTATGATTAATAGGTGTTACTAAATACTATTCGATGTTGTATACGATGGAATAAAAGAAAACAGTATTTTTTAGCAGAGTATGATATTGTAATCTTAATAGTGATAAACGATATGTTTAAATACTATTTTAAGATAATGCAAACACTAAAAACAGTAAATGAAATAGAAAATTTAAGAATCGTGTTTCTCTATTTTGTCTTTACATCAGACATTTCCTATCAGCTATTACAGTGAACATGGGTATATACATGTGCTTGCAAAATATATTCTTTCTTTGTGTAATTTCGTGTCTGTGTGAATTATCTTAATGTCAATATGAAAAAAAGGCAGTTATAACATGAACATATAACATTTATTATATTAATTCATTATATATTATGTTATTTTTAGAAATATTCTTTAATGAAAAATATATAAATAACATATGTATTTAATTCTCATTGATCTTCTCAAACAAAAGATTAATTTGATAAAATATATAAACGTAAAATAAAATTAATATTTATATTTCGATATTAATGAGACACTTTGTTTATTTTGGTTCTGTTTTTATTTCTTATATTTTGCAAGATTATATGATTATAGAATAGAAATAAAATTTCATTCAGCTGGATAAATAGAAGGTTATGTACCAGAATCGATTTTGTACCAGTTTTCGATTTTTAATTTAAGTTAGATGTACGCATTTACATTAAAATATTGAGCGTGAAAGATATTGAATTTAATTACGAGAAACTTGGTGATTGTTCATTGGAGGAATGTTAGAGAATTTTAGGAATCTTTTATGTAAATTGATAATTAACAGGCAAGGGGCTTATGACAAATAAAGACATTCGGTTCTTTACTCACAATGTTTTCTCGTACAGTATTGTGAAATAACTGCTCCCTTAGGTCTTCTTGTTCCTCCATCTTCATCTATTCGTTGAACGTACCGTTGTCGGCAGTAGCGACATTTTGTCCAGATTTTCACGAGTCCATCCGACGTGTTCTGCCTTACGACAGGAATTTCCGCTTTTCACAGTTAAAGGCAAAAAGTTACCGTTGCCATTCCTCTGTAAAATAGATCACATTTCCTACCTCTTTAGCCTTTGTATTCACGTAATAACAAAAACTACAACCACCCGACTATGATTGGCAGCGTACTAAATACGGTACACCGTTTCTGCTTTAATATCAGCCCGCCATCTATATACGTACGAGCCATTTCTCATGCGCTCTGAGCGATGACGACACTTACCGACTGCTATCAAACAGTTTACGTTCGTTCCGATTTAAATTTAATACGATGCGAATGGAGGATTTCGAATTTTCTGTCATCAATTTTTTTTCGAAATTAATTTCTTTGCAAAGTTCAGTACATATGCATCAATGGTTCTACACTTATTATTTTTTAGATTGTAAAACTCGGTGAGTAATTTCATTAAAATTTTAAAGACATTTATTTAAAAAGTTTTTCGACAGTAGTTTTAAGAGGTATTCATTTTAAACGCGTATGACTTTTTAATATTTGAATGCAATAAATCAGTCGCAAAAAAATGATTAAAAAATTATAAAATATAAATAGCTGATTTATTTCTTTTCTTCAAAATAATAAGACTTACAAAATATATACTATATGAATATAAACCTGTGAATTTATCGTGAATTTTTTTCTGAGTGATAAATAGTTGCGAATTGTTTATTTATTTGAATCTAATCGATTCATAATATATTATTTAATAAGTATAATACGGTAATATAGTAAAGTATGTTATTTATATAAAAAAAAAATTGTGCTAGAATTGTCTAATAAATATACATAGTTATTATAAAAATTAAATTTCATTTTTTTCTTTGATTGAACTTGTATATTTTTACAGTGCATATTTAACCATGTAAAAATCGCAATAACAAAATAATTATAATATCCTAGTATTGTATATATTTTATACATATATATATATATATATGTATAATATTATATATATAATTATATATACATAAATTTGATAGATTGTTATA